AAGGTACCTAAGCATATGATTTTGAGAGGAAAGATAGGGGACAGAAATCAGGTATGGCAGTTCTTCCTCTTTCATTTGTGTGTGGATTTTTAGTATAAATGCAAGGTGAAAGCATTAATGCAATCATAATGTTTCAGTGAACACATTTCAACAGTTCAACTTTATAGCAATTGTAAATAAACCTGTTAGAATTTTCTGGACCATGCCTGCATTTGGATTTTTATTAACATAAGTAAATTTCTTATTGACAGCAACTAAACACTGTTTGTATCAATTTTATCATACATAGATTCAATCCATTCACTATACTTTTCTGAGTTGTCCTATATGTAAGTACATGTTTTTAATGCTGTTTTCTGTGCTGTTCCTTTATGTTTGCTATTAAAATACATTAAACTATGAGGGGAGGGGCAGGAAGAAATGACAGAAGTGTCCCACATAAATCCAAGGAGTTCAGATATGAACTCGGAGTCTCCAGCAGTGTCTCCTCCCTCGAAAGTCAGTGGTTCTTGGTTTTGAACATAACCACTCCAATCTGAATTCTCACCCAGATGTGGGGAGGCCATGTCATAGTCTGCTGGCTTTCTTCACTAAATAAAAAAAGGGCCAGGCATGGGTGGTACAAGCCTTTAATCCCAGCACTCAGAGGCAGGTGGATCTCTGAGTTTGAGACCATCTTGGTCTACATAGCAAACTCCAGGACAGCCAAAGCTACATAGACCTGGTCTCCAACAAACAAAACCGACAGAAAAACAAAACAAAACCAAAACAAGCAAAATAGTTAGAACTAGGAAATAAGGGAAAATTCCAATAGCTCCTTCCAGTATTTAACAGATCTTCCTAAACATTGTTTGATTCTCTAGGACTTCTCTGTGTTTGATCCTCCAGTTTCTTTTTTAGAGCTTGGATACTGTGAAGTCGTGTGCTAGTTTGGGTCAAGCTCTACAGTATCTTTTCTTTTTTCTTTCTTTTTTTTTATTGGGTTGGGGGGGAGGTGTCAAATTCTGTAATATCTTTTTTCTGCTCCTTGAGGGACATTGCCATTTCTGTCTGTAACCAGGTAATCTCACTGCTGTTCTCAATTGCTTTGAGAATGCATCTCCTGGTGGGTTGTCTAAGCCTCTCTCCCCAAGTGCTAATTGAATTAGTTTTGCCTTGTGGCTCAGTCAGAAATTAATGAACAGAGCACAAACTTTGCCATGCTTCGGTTTCTGCACTGGTGTTGAGAATCACGATTTTTTTAAATACAAAGATTGCTTTTTATTTTATTTCTTTAAAAGATTTATTTATTTATTACATATACAGTGTTCTGCCTACATGCCAGAAGAGGGTCAAGATTTTAACAATGCCATTTGATGCCCACTGCTCCTCCTGTCTCCTCACTCTGGCTGCAGATGTCTGGGAGCAGCCTTCAAATAAAGATTCCTTTGCCCAGCCCGCCTGGAGTCTAAAGCAGCAAGTTTGCTACAGGTTTGGCTTGGACGGTTGCAGCAAGGGAGGGAGCGTCTTTTTTTGCCCTGCTTTCTCCTGCTCTGCCCTGCACCTCCTCCCCATCCTTCCCTTATGTGTTTTAGTGCTGGTGATGGAATCACGAGCCTTGTGCAGGCTGGACTAGCACTTAATCACTAGGCTACACCCTCAGACCCTAGTAGGCATTTCAACAAGCACGTGGAAAGGTTCTTTGATCAAGCATCTCGAGACAGCTGCACAGAGACCTGGATGGGTAGGGATGCCAATGTCACATTGGTTCCCATTGCTCAGCCCTGGGATGGACTAGAATCTGAGAGTCCATTTTCCTAAACACAGACTTGGACAAGGCAGTTGATCTTAAACGTGAATCCACCATCAATAGTAATAGAAAGTATGTGTAGGTTGAACCACTTGAGACTGCCAAAATTTAACTCTTTATTGACTTTCAAAAATGGCAGTGTCAGGTAAGATATAATAACTTCCCAGGTATTTCTTTCTAACTATTTGGCAACCAACTGGTGGACATAATTGGAATGAGGCTATTCAACATTTGCTGGAAATGCCTCATAGCTTTCATTGGGTGTCAAGCAAAAGTTAAGGGCTTGCTTCCCAGAAAAACAGTACAACTTCTTATGTACAAACTCAGGAAAATTTATGGAGCCTTTAAAGACACAGGGGCTGCTGGCTAATCCTATCTCACACTTTTTTTTTTTTTTGAAGGCTCTGTTTCAGGAGTAGAGTTCCGCTGCCACCTACTGCTAACAGTGTTGTTTTTCTTTCTTTTTTAAAATGTGAGATTTTCTGTTTCATTTGTATGGGTGCTTTGCTTACATCTGTGTCTGTGCAGCACGTGTTCATTGTCCACGGAGGCTGGAAGAGGGCATTAGATCCCTGGAACTGGAGTCATAGATAGTTCTTAGTGATCATATGGGTGCTAGGAATTGAACTTGGGTCCTTTGGAAGAGCAGCCAGTGCTCTAAAGGATTGGGACCATCGCTTTCAGCACGAACTACTTCGTTCTTACGTTGCGTTTGCTCTGTAGTTGTCAGGCAATCTTCTAGTCTGGAGTTTTGTAGGTGTTAATGAAAGACTAGGATAATAGACTGCAACAGTACCTCAAACCACTCTTTCCTCCAGATCTGGGAATTGAATCTCAGGCTTCATGCCTGTTAGGAAAGTGCTCTACCAATAGGCTACCATGCTAGCCCTCATTTAAAATATATTTTAAAGTTGTGTTTACTCTGTATGAGTGCATGCATGGGTATGGGGATCAGAGGTCAGCTTGCAGGAGCGGGTTCTAGTCCCACCATGTCTTGGGATGTCAGGCATACCATCTCACTGACAGGCTTTGAACCTGTGCTCCATCTACTTGTAGGCCTGCACCACCTGGCCCAGCTCTGTTTACTTACAATCCCCTTGTTTCATTGAGCGTTTAGCACAGGGCGTGGGGAGAATTGCTTCAGTGAATTCAGCATCGTTCCGTCTAATACATGGTTTTAGGTTTCTGCATTCTGAGACCTACTATATGACTCTGTGTCCTAGGCAGCTGACAGCAAGCAGTGCAAAGTACTTGTTGGTTTTAGAGGGGGAATTGTGTCCTGCTCTTTTAACTTTCCTCTTCCACTCTGGAGGAAGCCAGCTTTGGTCTGTTTACATAATTATTCCAGTACTTCTGTGTGTCTGTTGTTTGGCTTCGACTAGTTGCAACATCTCTTGGTGTTCCCTCGTTAAGATTTCATAAAATGTTTTACTGCACGTGATCTTAGCCAAAAGCCAAGAAACAGTAAGATCTCATAAAATTAACACATGCTCATTTGGTATCCGTATGAGACACATCATTATTATTATTTTTTAAAATTACCCTGCTCAGGATTTTGAAATCTGCCTTTTAGTGTGGTTTTATTTAGCTTCTTGGAGTATGATCAGACCTAGTTTTATATTCAAATGTAAAAAATCTCCATCCAGCTGCTTCAAGTTGGATCTGAAAATGCCCCCTAGAGACCATCTGCTTCAGCCTGGGGCAGGGTTCTGAGACAGGGCAACTTTTAAGAGTGGGGTTGTTGGGGGCGTTGGCATTGGGAATGAGCACGTGGAGGGGACTCAGAGGCCCAAAGCAACAGAGTCAGCTGTGGACTGACTCACCCTAAACTATGAGCCGCAATAAGCCTGTCCCCATTTGGCTGCCTCAGGCATTCCAGAGACAGAACTCCCTAAACTAAAGGATTACTTTGTAAGGCTGTTACAGTGTGAGGTAGTTTCTTATTCACGCTGGTCCTAATATAAAATCTCATACAATGTGAAAATAGGCTGAGGCGATGGCCCAGCTGGTCAAAGGCCTTGCTGTACAAGCATGGGGACCCGAGTTCAATCCCCAGCACCTGTTCAAGAAAACCAGGCATGCGGCTGAAACTCCAGCACTGTGGGGATGGAGACCAAGAAAAGCGGATCAATCCCTAGGACTCACTGGCCAGTCCAGCCAAAGCAGTGAGCTCCAGGTTCAGCGAGAGACACCGCCTCAAAAAATTAGAGGGAGAGTCATCAAGGAAGACACCCCAACAATGACCTCCGGCCTCCACATGCACATGCTGCAGATGTAACCCCACCATGGACATGTGCACATGTGTATCCCCAGTGTGCACTTTATGTACATGTATATCCCCCATATGCACACACATAAACATGTGTACACAAACAGAAAAATTAAACAGTCATAGAATGAACAGCTTACTGAAAATAGAAGTGGAATGCTAAATTAAAAAGTTTATTCTAAGATTAAGTGTTTCATGTTTGGAATTTAAAATTAAGGTGGCATCTTCGAAAGCACTTATATGTCTTCTTACCGGCATCACATTGTCCTCAGGGTTGCTGAGTCTACTTTAAATAGAAAGGCTCCAAAAAAAAAAAAAAAAAAAAAAGAAAACCTTTAATAGTCCTATAATGGGAGCAGCTTTATTTTAAAAACAAAGAAACAAATACCTCTTAACTGATAGATGGCTGAGGTAAGAGCTGGCTGCTCTTCTAGAAGACACACATTTATTTCCTACCACTTAACATGGGAGCTCACAGCCATCTGTAGCCCGGTCCCAGGAGATCCAAAGCCCTCTTCTGGCCTCCCAGGACACCTGGCACACATGGTGCACAGGCATACACGCCAGCAAAGCGCCCATACATAGAAACAAAACATTAGGGGAGTGTGCTAAGGGGAAGGCAGAGCGAATCCACAGGCTTGGGAATGGGCAGAATGGAGACCCTGCCAGTTTCTTTCAGAAATAAATTCATGTGATCACATTTTTCACTGGGCCTATAGTGTAGGAAATTTTCTCTCCGGGCTTGTGTTTAAAACAGACTTGGAGCTTCAGCCAGAAATCATTGATTGCCAAAATCAGGAATTACAGTGAGTCCTCATTTATTATTTCCTAAGGGTCAAGGTATTTGTGATTTTTTTTTCAAATAGAAACTAGTGCTTGGTATTTGTTTTCTTCTTGTCATAGTGAGGCCCAGCCCCCTAAACAGAGTAACATTAAAGCAAATCAATCTTGTTATTTTATTAAAACCATTGTGATATTTGCATATATATATTTCATTTCAATTAAGTACTCATTTGTAAAGACACTGTACAATATACAGGCTGACAAGGAAGAAGGGGAGAAAGTATGTCAGTCTACACATTCAAGGCATGTTGTTTTGGTCCTATCTTTACAGCTAAGGCACAAATGAGAGCCAGACTCCAGGTGCCTCTTGCAAGATGAATGTGCACATTTGTGACCTAGGTTTGGAAAGACGTCATGCTTATCTATTAGATTGAGTGCAGAGAGCCTGCTAAGCATAGTAACCTCAGACCTTCCTTCTGCATCAACCCTGCAATCAGCTGCATGTGTGGTTGACTGTGGGGCATTGAATCTGGACAATTATTTCCATCTGTTCCTAAACAAACCTGCTCAACTGAAATCTAAGATTACTACTACCCTCACTTCATCTTTACACCCACCCCATACAGTGCATATTTTTAGAGTCCAAAGCATTAGAAAGACCCCTTACCAATTCCACAACAGAACTCTGAGCACAGTAGGCTTGCAACCATCTGACCACTGCATTTTAAAGTCAGATTTCACTCTATAGGTTTTCAACTACAAAATAAATTGTAAGTGGTCTCCCTAAGTCTATAAAATACCTTCAAAAATATACCTAGGCATAAAAAATGTTCCCTCTCCATAATATCTAAATTTCAAATTCTAGTTCCCACTTTACAGGTAGATAAACTGTCACAAACAAAACTGTAAAATATGTAGGAGGAACAGAGGTCCTTGAGCTCATGGAAAGCACTAGGGGAAACAGGGATGTTGTTAGCACATAGGGATGTTCCTTCAAAAGAAGGGATGTGTAATCTGTTATCCACCTAGAAGGCTGGGAACAGACATGAGCTTGGTGACCTTTGTGAAATGTGTGTGACTGGAGTCTACACCTGACCCTCCTCCAGACCCTTATCAAATGCTTTTCCAGCAAGTCTACAGAACCCATTATGGGAGGTGTCATCTGCTCTTTATAAAGTTTTGATGTGGTCACATGCGATCTTTATTTAGCTTACTTTGTTCCTCAGAGATTTATGTATGTTTCATTGTATACAAAGGACTGACTTAATTATCATGAGAAAAGTTTTCACCTTAAATATGCCCCAAATAAACCATTTGAGGTCAGACTCTTGAAGTTTGACCTAGCAACTACATAGTTGTGTTGAATTGAACTGCCTTCTTGCCTCCCGAGGTCCATCATTCTGCTCTCCATAGAAGTCACAGAGACCCCTACAACAATCTATTTCCTGTCTCCAAATTTAGTATCTATGCTAAATCACTTTGGTCTCCAAGGAACATAATCCTGAAATCATATATATTAGTGAAATGTGCTCCAAATTACATTCTTCCCCAAAGAATGAACTCAAGTAAGAAAATAACATTAGAAGAGTCTACATGTCTAGGAACTTGCAAATAAATCCTTTATGAAAAATACTCCTGGAGACAAAGAAATGAGATTAAAGTTCCACACAACAGTCACACAAATTTTACGTTGGCATAAAGCAGAGGCTACCATTTGAATTACAATAAAGCACCACAAGTTTCTAAGGAGAATTTTAGACAAGTCCAAGCCGTTTATTTCAGGACTGAACAGTCTTAAAGAAAGTAGAAGCTGCATTGAAGGAACATCACACAACAGGGCAAACCTAACAAACATTCCTGCAGTCCTGGGTGGTAGATGTTCACTAGGCTTTAAACATGTCTCTGTATTTGAGAACTGCTATGATAAAGTGCTGGGGGAAAAGCAGAGACAGAATAGTCCCTTTGGCAACTTACACAGTCAGCAGGCGACCCAGGAGCCAGCTGGCTTCCACCTGGCTTCCACTGAGTGTTGCTAGTTATTGCTCACGCCACACACCGTCTGCTAGGAACAGGGGCCACAACATTGACTAGAACAGGACTTCGGTCCTCCCCTGGGGCCCACACAAAAGGGAACTGCGTTTCCAGGAGTCACACTGCACTACATTCTGAGTGGCAAGTGTCCAGCAGGCCACCCTTTCCCTTCTCTGTCAGGTAGGGCTGGGTTCTGCTAAGGAGACACTGGGCAGGACAAGGAGCGCCTCTCCACACTCCACGTTTTCAACTAGAATTGTTTTCCTGTTTTATTTTTTTATTAACGTGATTTTTTTGGGGGTGGGGAGGAGGGAGTCGGGTAGTTTAAACCATCAAAGACACAGGTGACATTCAGAGAAAAAACTAGGTTAATTCCATTTGAGTGACCTCAAGGCTTGCCCCTGAGTGTTAACTTCAGGTTGATCACATTTGGTTCATTTTTCTGGTTTCTGGGAATTGGGAAGCACCAGTCCATTTCATTCCACAGACAATCACATCAACAATGAAACAAATGACAGCTACTCTGAGAATGCTGACATTTAAGGAGTATTTCAACAGACAATCAAATGACAGCTGACTGTACCCTAGTCACCTACTTAGGGCGTCTAGGAAAATAATCACCAAATACCCCACAAAAACAAATAATGACATTTTATATTAAGACAATGAAGAGGATTTGAGAGATGTCAGAAAAGAACTGGGTTAATAACAGGAAAAAAAAAGCACTTCAAAGTCTTAAGTTAGAATAACCTCTAGTAATTAAAACTTTCTGGTCACAAGAGATTAAGGAAACTTTAGATAAAGCAGTAGCAAGCAACTTCTCTGTTAAGAGAACAGTCTAATTGCACATATTAGACTAATTCACAAGTTAGTCTTGATACTGGTAAAAATTCAACTTTATGCCAGTCATGAAATTTAACTGTGAGAAATAATCTAACGCCTGTCAGTTGATTTTATTAGGGTGAATAAAAAAAAAGCCCTTCTTGCATTCTAATTCACCCTTCCCTCCTTTTCGGTCTCAGAGGAAACAAAACAGGCAGAAATGCTCATTGCTAAAGGACCAATTACCAAACTACAATCACCAACAGGCCAGGCCTAATTTCTATAGAAAAATGTTTGACTTGGAGAAAAATCTCCAATAATGAATTGGACATTTTTTGGAGGAGAGAAAAACTGTTAGGAAAGCATGACCAACACACTGTAAACACTGGTCAGATTCTTACAGACCAATGGCGAAATGAGAACGCTCAGGACTAGGGGGACAACTAAGAAGAGTGTCTAAAAAACCAGCTCGATCATTTTACTCCGCATCCATGGTGACTGAGTGTCAAAGATAATCAGTTGGCTCATTATAAACATCAAATTCGAGAAGTTATAAAACTACGTTAGCTGCACTTCAGCTGACAGACATTAAAATAAAGCACCGTGTCAGTAGTGGGGACAGTCACAATGATTTCCCACTGGTAAAGCCAGGATTGTCAGTGTTTTGTGGCTTAACATTGAGCATCTCAATACATCCACTAACCTAATCCAACTTGCTCTACAGGCAGGGACATCATCATGCTGGGAAAAGTTTAACTTAGGCAAAAAACTCAGGATGCTGGAGCTAAAAAAAAAAGTCAAAACCTAGGCAGGAAATGACTGCTCTTACCACCTGATACAGGCATCTTTTAAATAGAAATCTGACCAGGAAGCTTTTAAATATCATTTCCTTTTTCAAAACACAGAGGGGAGAAGGAGCTGATATTTTGTGGCGACATTTGACTTGCTGATAAAAATGTTTATTACGGAATATGCAGGTTTCCCGGGCAGGAGGCAGGCGCTGCCAGTGGCTCAGGCTGCTGAAGGCACAGCTAAGACCGCACTCTCCGGAAACCAATTGGTGACACACGGTGAGCTTGTGCTAAGGGAGGGGCAAAGTCTTTCCTTCACCTTTATGGGTGGGATGCAGCAAAAAGAGAAAAACAAAGAGGTCAAAGTGCCACTTGCGGGGGACAGGCTACAACTGAAAAGCACACTCCTCTGTCTGTCAAGGTCTCGGGTGTCCTCTGGGAAGCAGGGCAGATCTAGCACTGGCCAGAGGTTCTGACTTGGCCGGACAGAAGTCCCTTTCCTTATGACTAGAAAACATAAACAATCTTGTGGAAATAGCAGTAGATGGATCCCCTTAGGTTCCTTATAAGTGCTCTAATTAGTTGTAGGGCTCCCTGAGAACTAAATTCCACAGAACAACAGCACAACGATCACCTGTCTCTCCATGTTACACCAATACATTCTACAGAATATGCTCAGAACTGCCATTGAGCTGGACTAATACCACCCACTCAAGCTCAACCACTGTGACTGCCAACCTTGGTTTAGACATCTCTCAAATACCTACAATTTAAGTTTTAACAGATTCTATTGTGAGGAGATACTTTTACTTTTATTTTATGTGCTTTGGTGTTCTGCCTGCATGTGTGTCTGTATGAGTGTGTCAGGTCCCCTGGAACTGGAGTTACAGACAGCTATAAACTGCCATGTGGGTGCTGAGACTTGAACCTGGGTTCTTTGGAAGAATAGCCAGTGCTCTTAACCGCTGAGCCATCTCTCCAGCCCCTTGAGGAAATCAATTTTATTTCAATTAACTAAGCTAAATCAAAAGGAGGGCTGACAAGTTGCCTGGCTGCAAGAGTTTCTGTAGTCACCCATAAGATGTGTGCCATTTAAGGGCCGATGAACTGAATCACTTTTAATGTTTATGCTGGTGATTTTGTGTTTGTAAGCAAAAGAAGACATACCCAGGGATGGGGAAACCAAGCTGCACTGAACAGACAAGAAAGCTTACATGGCAGTAACAGTCGACAGCTGACAACCCTATTACCAGTGTTACACTGGAGAAGTGGCTGCCTGGAGCCTCAGAATACGTAAGCAGGGAAGAAGCACTTGGTGCTCAACAGACAAAGTGTTCACACTAGAGTAAGGGTTAGCGCAGTCTCTGGATCCTCCGTGAACAATGGGGAAGGCAGCATGAGAACTTAGATTTTCCAGGGACCATGGTTCAAAGCTTCTGAAATTCACAGGCGTCAACTAAAATGAGAACTCAGCACCCAAGCAGCAACTTTCTCACTGGTGTCAGCACAGGCAGTAGTGACTCTCATGTTTAATATAGTCATAAATGTCCTAAAAACAGCCTCAGTTTCTAAGGCACCTAGTTCTATTAAACAATTGAGCTTTAGCACACTAACTCTGGCCGACTAACAGCACACTCACTCTGTACTCCCATGGGAAAAAGCCCATGGAAGTACAATGAAGAGGTACACTAACTGACAAGCAGATTAGGCACAGCTCTTCAAATGTTAAGTTTCTGAAGACACAGGGGACATTAGGTCCCCATGAGCATTGTCTCAGATATTTGTAACAGTAAGAAGTAGAAAGACTTCACTGATGACATTTGCTGCTAGGTGACACACCTCTCCCACTGCTTGTTTGAATATTCTTTTTCGGGACCAGGCAAGGCAGGCACTGTTGCTCATATGCTCTCTAGTTCTCTACCACAAGTAAATGGTGTTACACTCCTGCATCAGTACTTCGTGGCTGGAAACCCTCCTTCCGAAGGCCACCCATATCAAAGCGAGTAGAGACTTCACAGCGTACTAATAATGTGTCATCCTTAACGAAGGTTCCCTGTCTTAAGGCTTCCAGGTGCATAAATGTTACATAGCCAAAACCTTTGGGGTTCCGTGGGATTGTGGGACGCTGAAAGGCAAGCAGCTCTGGTTTAGCATCCATGACCTCTTCGTGGTTTTGCCTTATTACTGCTTCAGATTGATCAAGAATTGTAAGGCGTATGGTGCCCTGGAAGGGCCAGGGGAGATGGCTGTCATACTCTCCTTGCATGGTGTGGACAAACAGGGATATATAGTTTGCACAGCGCTGAGCTGTTGGTAGCTGAAGGTGCAGGCGCATGCACAGCTTGTACCCAGGTCTGCCTGTGTAGAACCCAGGGCTATGAATGACAACAGGCTTCTCCTCTTCTTGGGATTTCAAGTGCATCCCAAAGTTGCCAATCTTCCAGATATAAATCCCGTTACACTGTTGTGCTTCCATTTCAGCAACTTTGTCCTCAAGGGTACGGATGGTTCGTTTGAGCTCGCTTACATGGATACTCTGAGTTTCCATCTTGGCAGTCAGTTCCCGGATTTGATGGTCCTGTCTTACTAGGCGACTTTCCAACTGTTTGATAGTTTCCTCATAATTTGGGTCCTCTGGACAACATCCCCGGGATGGAGAAGAAGTATCACATGAATGCAAAGTGAGGTTTACATTATGAACAGCCTGGGCCAACAATCTCATGTGCAACTGAGTATTCTCTTGCAGGTGTCGTGCTAGGTGATTTCTCTGCATCTGAAAGGAAGCACAAGCCACAAGTTGGGAGCATTCACTGAGGACGAGGAAAAGGACGGGGCCAGGCAGACAAGAGGTTTGAAAAGTAGCATCACAATTTCTCTAGCCTTCATCACTTCTCTGTGTTGTCACCTGGTTCAATGAAATAATCCTCTTATTTTACTGGAGCTAACTGATGAGCACTCTCAGCTGTTACTCCGATAAATCTCCCTTCTGTCAAAGTAGCATCTACACCCATCTTTCTTTGTTGACTGGAAGACAACAAACACGCAGGTCTCTTTTCCACATGTTCCTTCCTCTGTTTCTCTTCTCAGAGGACAGTTAACACAGTCTTTGCATTAGAAAAACAAGGCAAAGCTTTCTATAGATCATACTTTCTTTCGTCAATATCACTGTCTCCCCTTTAAAGCTACCTGATCCTGCCTGTCAAGTCCTCAGCTCCCACTCATGATGCTGATTTACTGCACAGTCATCTCTACAGTACTGGAAGACCATCCAATTCCTAAATGTTCTGATAGTCATAATTATAAAATAATGTTATCACAGACAAATAGAAAATACAGGTAACTAAAATGAAATGAGGCTATACCTATTATCTGTCTTAGTATTTTTTTCTCTATGCACACAATACAGAACTTCCTCATAACATTAAATAGAGTTACCATTCTATTTCATCTTTTAAACTGTGAAGTATGTTTATTTTAAGTATCTGTAAAAGCAGAGCAGAAAAGCAAACATGTAATTGCATACCCCAGAGAAAACAAGGCCAACACACACCACAAGCTGTCAGACACTTCACACCCTGATCCCATCTTGAAGCTAACCTGGGAGACCATGGCAGGACTGTCCTCACCAGATGCACTGTTCATTCAGGTTTCTTTCCTTGCTTACCTCTCTTTCCTGTAACACGAAATCTGTATCATTGCAATACTGCCTCCATGCTTTCTTAGTCTTCCCAGTGTTCTGAGCTACACAGGGCCATCTCCATTTGAATGTGCCAGAGCTGGGTAGACTCAATACCATTAAAACACCCTTTCTTTCTTTTAAGCTTCCAGCTGTACAGCTTGTCCTGCCCTCACTCTCTTTTGTTGAGGTCTTTCCCTCTAACCCAGTGACTAAGGCCAGAAACCTACGGTCATTCTGGATGTCCCCTCTTCTCTGTTTACTGTATCTTCTTTGTTACTATTAGACCTTCCCTCCTAAATGTGTCTGGGATTCCTAGATCTCGCTCTATTCACTTTCACTGCTCATGCTGCCCTTATTTTGGGTGTTGTTAGTGAAAAGTTCAGATACCACCTTTCTTTATTCTACTTCAGATCTCCTATGTTGTTGCTGAATTGAATAACACAAAAACGAAAAACCTCAAAGCAAAACAAAACAACAACAATAAAATAAGTTACCACACTCACTAACTTTCTCTTGACTTCTTGGATGTTCTTTTTGGTAAAATTTTATTTTTATTTTAAACTATAGGTGCATGCGTGTCTGTGTTTGGGGATGCACGTGAATGCAGGTGCTACATAGGCCAGAGGTGTAGGATTTCCTGGGGTTGGAGTTGCAGGCCACTGTGAACCACCTGATGTAGGCAGGTGCTAGGAACCACTAGGCCATCTTCCAGAGCCTCCCTGAACATTGTTTTTCCCACCTGTTAAGACTCAGTCCACAGGTGGGTAAGATGGCAACGGTGTCTGCCACCAAGACTGACAACCTGAGCTTGATCCCCTGGGGTCCACATGGTGGAAGGAAAGAACCACTCCTATGAGTTGTCCTCTGACCTCCGTATGCATGCATGGAATCACACACCCACATACACACGGCTGTGCATATGTGCACATGCACATACACAAATTAAAAAAGGCAAAGATTTAGTCTAAACATGTTCAGTCATGCCTTCTGAAATACATAAGCCATTACTACCAGTGTAATAGCATCAGTACTCATAACAATTTATGTTAACAGTGTTTACATGTAAATGTTTTCTAAATACTTATATTTGTTGGTATTCTTCAGTACAGACCTGAGTATTTTTTTAAATTCATATTCCAGAATTCAAATAAAACTTACCTTCTCATGACAGCCAAAAACACTGAATGAGCAAGGGATTGGAGCTGTTGGGCAGTCTAGATCATAATGATTAGGCATCTGAAAATCAAAATGAAAGCTGATTTTTAATATTATGCTCTAGATGAAAATAGTACATTTAAAAATCTTATACTAAGCAAAACTATGTTATTATCTATGGCTTCTTTGCAATTCTGAGAGAAACTAAATATTAATATCTTACATCATCCAATTAGCTAAACTTCGTTTCTTAAAATGGATTTGTTTTGACTGTATATAACTGGCGCCCTCTTGTGGCATTTTTCAAGAAAACACCCCTTAACAACTATTATGGCAAACCCAGAGCCCTCTCTGTGGTCTAGGCCATTTAATAAGGGACTGGTTATAATTCATTAAAGCCTCTGAACAGACCCATTACTTCCCATATGACAATCTTTTATAAATCATCTTATCTTTGAAACCTGGCCTATTTTGACTCTATTGGGGAACTTGGTTATTACATGTTACAGATACAACCATTCTAGGCTTGACACAGCACCCTACACTTGACTCAAGTGACCGTGTGGTCATAGGACTGTCTTATCTGCTTCAAAAAAAGTGTCACCAGTCAGCACAATCAACACCACTAGACATTTCTTATTCTTCTGAAAATAGGACTGACCCTGGGCACAGTCTGCGGAGGCTTTTTATTTAACATTTCTAGAAAAAGAAAAAGATCTCAGGATTTCCCCTCATGTGTGTTTTCATCTTGTTCTTTGTGGTCCATGATCCCAGTTGAGGCTGTCAGTATAATGAAGTCAAATTGATGGGATGGGAGCAGATTGATCTGCCATTTTTCTAGGTCTCTGAGCTGTCAGATATAGGGCTGATCAATCCACACTGGCTCAGCCTGCCTGTGAGGTTCACACATTTTTCCCAGCTCTGTGATCATCAGTGATTTCAAATCCACCAATGTAGCCAGGCTTCATCATCATGATTCGGAACTGATGATGATTTTTGGAGCACAGCCTGATGAGGACCTAGCGTTTGCCTCTCTTACTAACACTGCTGATGAGCTTGAGAGTATCTACCAGTATATTCATGTGCATCATGACGAAAGATGGAGGAGGAATTTCAGCCTTTAATTTGGGGGCTCAAAACTATCTTCTTTAGGATGAGACACATTAAAGGAGGTCACATTTTTAAAATGGTATCAAGGGGTTAGGATATGATGGTACATGTCTTTAATCCTAGCACTTGGAGGCAGGGGCTGGTAGATCTTTGTAAGTTCAAGACCAACCTGATCTACACATTGAGTTCCAGGCTAGCCAGGGCTACATGGAGAGACCCTGTCTGAAAAACAAAACAAAACCTAGAACCAACCAACCAAACATAGAAGGTACCAAGGGGTTGGAGAGCAGCTCACTGGTAGAATACACTCACCTAGCATGTGTGAATTCTGGGGTGTGAAGCCCCAGGACAGAAAAAAGGAAAGGAGAGGAGGAAGGGGAAGAGAAAGAGGAGGAGGAGGGACAGAAACAGGGAAAAAGGGAAAGAAGCCATGAGAAAGTAGGGCCCAGATTTCACTAGAAATTGAGCCATAGTTGTGGACTGAAGTGAAGTTAATGTCACAGCAAACATCAAAGTCCAGTTTTTCTAATGTTTCATTATGTTTTTTGTCTTTATTAAATTTTATTTTGTTGAGTTTTTACAAGTACAGCATAGTTTCCTTTAAATATTGAGAACAAAAAAGAAAACCAAGGGTATGGGATGACTTCATAAGCATAATGTTTAACACCTTTAAATTCTTGGAAAAATACTACTAATGATACATGGGAACATTTAGTCATTTTTACTAAGTAATCAGAGAGTTTTTCACTTACAACTTACAGCCTTTTCGGGCTCATACAGATTTAGTGACTAATATTCATCCTTTGTGGTAAACTCCCTAAATGCCAACAGATAGCAATTGGATGGACTTTTCCTTTCTTTATTAGTAATTAAAATATACCAGTTTTCTATTATAACTGTTGCCTTTGAGGATGCCCAGCAGTGGTCTGGAAGCCCTCTGCATGGCCCGGGAGCTGGCGCTGCACACTACTGTGCTACTGAGCAGGTGAGCTTTCTTCTGAGTCCTCCTCCTCCTCTCACCCAACCTCTGGACAACCAGGCCCTCTTCTGCAAGTGTGTTTTTAAGGGGGCCCCTCCACTTTCAACTGTTTTAATTTTAAAATTATCTGTTTTAGTTCATTTCTTTGTCTCTGCTGGGAACACTAGGTAGAGTCTCTATTTCGCTGAGTTCCATCACTAGCCAATGGAATATTTTTTTTTTTTTTGAGAAGCATCTCTCTACATAGTCCAGGAACTCACTATGTAGATGTGGCTGGCTTCAAACTCATCTGCCTCTCCCTCTGACTCCTGAGTGTTGAGATTAAAGGTGTACACCAGCCACCATGCCCAGCTCACCAGTGGAACTCTTATAAATACGTTTAAATACAGGTACTATGGGGATGACCCAGAAATTTTAAGCATCTACAAATACTAGATTTTTGTTCCTTTGAATTATTAATTACATCAATTTGTATTATTTTTTTGTACAGCAAAATGCTTCAACATATACTGATTTTAAATTTTCAATTAAAGAAAAAGTAGCACTTCTTTAGGTTCTTAAGCAAATAGTAATTTGCTAAAGAGATTCCTACCTGTTCTCTGATGAGGACTGTACCACAGTATTCACAGATGATATTTGCCAAAGGACAGGTCTGATCATGGATCTAAGTTGTATGAGAGAATTAAGAAATGTATGAGAAATTCTGAAAAAGTAAAAAGACTAATTTTTATAAAGTACTATTTTCACTGTGGGCAAATGAAGAACATTTGTTTATGCACAGTCACAACAGGAGACTTTGACTAGTTAATGTGACTCAGTCTTCAGACTCCTTCAAACAGTTTGTAAGCATGCAAAACAGAGATGACTTTTTTTGAACTTGAAGCAGAGCACCCCTGAGTAGTATGGATATCACTTGTTGATGTAATTCTCTAAGGGCAAAAGTTTTTAGCAGTAGCATGACAAGTTAATTACAATTCTTTCCAGTAAGTTAACAAGCAAGCAAGCAATCAAAAAGCTTTGGTACGAGGCTTTGGTACCTAAGTTCTCAGAAGGGTGAGTCCCATTTTCTAGAACACAGTAACTTTGGTTTAATAAATAAGTATGCTGAGAAATAGACAAACCTTCCTCATTAGTTCATGGAATTTGTTCAAGTTGAGAAAGGTACCAAATTTGTTCTAATTGTGACTAAAACTTTACATATTTATTATTAGCAAGTTAGTTGAATTTTCTTGACTATTTTATCAACACACTAAATATAAGATGCTTGATTTCCTAAAAAACAAATAGAAGAATAAAAGTTTACGGAAGTAACTAAGTATTAGTTATAGAGGACCACAGACTAATGCAGCTTATTTTAGTAAAGAGAATAAGGGTAGGGTTTCAATGTCACCTTGACACTGACAATGTTGGATGAAGCTAATTAGCCTCTTTACATTCCAGTTGAATAAAACAAGTACTCTACTATCATGATGCTTCTAGGCGTCACACTGTTTCTTTTTAAAGGTTAACTTCAACTGAAGTACAACATACATACTGAAAAGTGAATGGAGTCAATGACTTACTACCATGGAACACACTTTGCAATATTTAATGGATTCTTTCTTACATATGCAGTAGCTCACACTCTTTGTGAAACAAGTCTGTATACATCTTACACACCAGCCACGTGACTTCTTAGTCTGCCATCGGACCATTCATTAAAATTCAGACATGGAGTAAACCAGCATATACCTTTCCTAGTAGCTTTTGTTCACTGTTTACTCTCAGTACTTAGTTTAACGCTTTCTAAGGATATGTAAATATAAACTCCACATTTATGGGCCGGTGGGTTCCTTGAAACTTTATTTCTTTCACAAAATTAGCTTTTAAAAACTGGTAATATAGCTGGGTAGTGGTGGAACACACCTTTAATCCCAGCACGTCAGAGGCAGACACAGATGGAGCTCTGAGTTTAAAGTCAGCCTGGTCTATATAGAGTTCCAGGACAGGCCGGGGCTATACAGAGAAACCCTGTCTTGAAAAACAATAACAATAAAAAACCAAAACAAAAAATGCATGTTTTGCTTTTTGTACTTAACATCTTTATCTAATGCCTTCAAATATGTATCTCAAATGCAATGAGCAAATCTAAGTTAGTACATACCTCTTTCTCTTCAAATGGCATGGACACAGCACAGTTTACACAAGAAACCTGTCTCCTGGGACAATCCTCGATGATGTGCATATGAAAGTGGCACTTTTGGAAAGGACGTTGACATTGGGGGCAATTCATAAGAGCAAATTCACAATGTGCTTGATGATCCTATAATGAAATAGTTGATTAGCATTTAAAACCCTAAAAATATTTTCTAGAGATCATCTTTTCTAAGAATACAGTTCTTTCTTTCAGAATTAGTTTTAACTGTCAATTTGACACAAGTCACCTGAGAAGGGAGTCTTAATTAAGGGATTGCTCAAATCAGATTTGTCTCTGGGCATATCTAAAGGGGACTGTTTTGACTGTAAACTGATGTAGGAGGGTCCAGCCCACGGTGGGTGGCCCCATTTCACGGGTAGGTGGTCCTGGGCTGTATAAGAAAGCTGGCTGAGTAAGGACCTGTGAGCCAGCCAGCAAATTGTGTCCCTCCAGCAATTCTGTGAGTCCAGGCCTGACTTACTCACTAACGGACTATGATTTGAAACTGTAAGCCAATACAGCTTTCCTACTCTAACCTGCTTTTGGTCAGAGTGTATTATCGCAGCAAGAGAACAGTGACTAAAGCCCACATTCTCTAGCCATATACAGCATGAAGGCCTTAATGAAGTCTTTCAAATAATAGTGTGATGTCAACAATATGAAGTCTCAAGTGAGTATTTCCAGTTAGAGAAGTTTTGGAAAGAAGTTAAATTTCCAGATTAGAAATTTATACTGTGTCAAAAGGGTCACTCCCAAAAAAAGGGCTGAAGTGGTTAAAAGGGAACGTTGCTCTTCAAGAGGACCCAAGTTCTGTTCTCAGCACCCATACTGGGCTGATATCAACTGCCTATAACTCCAGGGAATCCAATATCTCTTCTGGTCTTCATTGGGGGTGGGGACGAATACACACACACACACACACACACACACACACACACGAGAGGGAGGGAGAGGGATGAATAATGAGTAAATCTTTTTGTAAAAAAGACCAAAATAAAAGGGACAGACTTCCACCTGACCTAAACATTAAGTTTCAAACAGAATATTACCCATATTTCCATATTTTATTTCTGGTACAAAAACCAAAAAAAAAAAAAAAAAAAAACCTAAAACACCAAAGAAAGAAATTATCTCATTGCTTCAGCTAATTTCCAACTATGTGATTATTTTATTCAGTGAATAGTACAATGTGAAATTTAGGAAAATAGAGAAAGTACAGTGAAGGTACTGGGATGGTGGCTGTAAGACACTTCTTTTCTTATTTCAAACGAGAGAAATGAAGTTATGGGGTTAAGACGTAACTTGCAATTAAGTTCTTCAACTGTAGAACTGTAGATGTGCTGATCTGAAAGACTCTCAAGAGCACAGGCTAATTTTATTGCTGGGACAAAGCCAAAGCAGAAGGAATAAAACATTTTCTAATTTTCTAATCTACATTTAATGATGGCAAGAATTTATTCACCAATCCTGATCTGCTACAATGATACATAGATATCAGGGCAAAGTTGTTATGCTCTAGAGACTGCATTGTGACAACAGCTAGAAAAACATCCTTAATACCTCGAGATGTCTCAGCTCCATCTTTTGCAAACAGCCTTTATTTGGGCACTTTACCGTCAGGGACAGAATCTCTCGCTTTGCGAAATTGTCAGGAAACAGTTGATTTTCCAGCAGTATTTCATTATCGACTGGACATTTGTGACCTGCATCCCTAAAAAGAAGCGGGAACTTAGGGTTAGTAGCCTGAAGCCTACACCTTGTAAGATTGACTGCAGTTCTCCATATGAAATAACACATGCATTATATTGTACAGCAGCACCAGAATCATAGTGCACTTTGGAGTTTATGAATTCACTTAGGAAATGAATGCAAACTAGCACTGTACTATTTATCAAAAGCTAACAGGTTGTAAATTGTGGGACAGATCCCCGCTAGACAATAAGCAAAACAATGAATAAAATTATAGTTTGATTGGCATAAAAATGAAATGAAGGTCAGTCAGGAAAGAACTCTGGCAATCGGGCTGGCTGTGCTCTGTAATACCTCTACAGTCTATCAGTAAGTCAGACTATGCTGCTCACAGTATTAGTAACTCATTTACAGCATATTGCTCAGTTACAAACAGAAATTGAATCAGTTAGCAGTTAGCACCCTTCTGGGGCTTCTGGTAAGCTTTGAAATGAGGTCTATGATACGCCAGCTCCTGAGCAACAAAAGGATGATTTTATCTGCATATCTATAGTTAACTATATAGTATAGCTCAAGGACCTCTGTGGTAGGTCCTTGTTTTCTGGTGGGAAAAATCACCTTTAGGAAACCTAGGAGTCTACCACGCCTTTGAACTTTTTGATATGTCCCAAACAATCTTTTAGAGATATTTTATTTTGAATTATGTGTGTGCATCTGTGTGGAGGTATGTGCACATAGGTGCAGGTGCTCATGGAGGCCAGAGGTATTGGATCCTATGAAGCTGGAGTTACAGGAAGTGATCAACTACCTGCAAGGGGCTTCTGGGAACTGACTTGAGTTCTCTGGAAGAGCAGTAAATGCTCTTAACCATGAAGTCATCTCTCCAGCCATCCAGAGCTGTTTCAATCTTGTCTCACAGAATGTGATAATGAGGTAGGCCACAGGAGCCTTAATCTATCACTGAAACACTTTTTCAGCACTAAGCACTGCTGTGACTGGGACATGGTATCTGCATGGTATCAGCACATAACTAACCAAAGTGAGACAGAGCTCATCTTTATGGCATCTGTTTAAGATTACATAGAGCATGCCAGGTATGGGATCTCTGTGAGTTCGAGGCCAGCCTGGTCCACATAGGGAACTCCAGGACAGCCAGGACTACATACCTTGTCTCAAAAAAAAGAAGGAAGGAAGGAAAGAAGGAAGGAAGGAAGATAAAACACAATAAACTGCCAGAAAGCCAGGTGCAAATCTTGTAGAAAATGCATATCTAACGTGAAAGTAAGAACTTTACAAAGTAAACCTAAAGCCAATACCCACAGTTTTAGAATTTAGAATAAGATTCACTTTGATTTCTTTTTCTTTTTTTTGTTTTTTGAGACAGGGTTTCTGTCTGTAGTTTTGTAGACTAGGCTGGGCTGGCCTCAAACTTACAGATATCCACTTGCCTCTGCCTCCCAAGGGCTAAAGGCATGTGCCACCACTGTCCAGCTTCATTTTGATTTCTTGAATGATAGTCAATGAAGGATTTATAGCAGTTCCTTTAAAGAGATTCAAGCCATTTCTAGCCACAAGGGAAATAGGACTAAAGTCTCAGATTTCCTTTTGTGGGATTTGTTTCTTTCTCATATCATTATCCTACAACTTTGAAAATATTTTGCTACAAAGATTAGCTAGCTACTTTCCTGGACACTTGATAAAATAGAGCACATTTCTTTCTATAAGAAATTAGCATGTCACATGTGCTACCATTTTACCTAATTATAATATATTAAAACAGACAGGAGGATGACCCTGAAACACTAATTGCTGTGGTCTAAAGTGGCCCAGGGGACACTGTGACCTCACAGGCTGGGCTGAAGGTGATACTATTAGCATTCAGTGGACACACAGCAGGCTTGAAGCTCATGGTCTAACAGGAGAAGACATTCTGCCAAATAAAGACTCATCTGGCCCAAAACATCAACAGTGCCAAGGTTGGGAAACAAATCCACAAAGAAACAACAAGCACATAACCCTATCCTCCACAGATCTTATTGGTTCAATGCCAGGCAACACATTTCCCCTCAAATTGAAGAGATGCGCTGCCCCCATATAACTTAATTCAAGCTCCAAGTATGGATATGGTCACCCGAATTAAGTTTTATTGAAAAGCTGGCACAAAAACTGAGAGGTACAAATTCACAGACCACAGACCAAGATGGTCTTAGCCTACTTAGGAATCACTGTAGTTTGGTCCCTAATACAGCAATGCTCAAAACAGAGCTTGGAGAAGTGACTGGAACTCAGTGAGGGCTCTGACATTCTCAGTGGATGAATCCATTTGTGGATCACATCTGTGGGTCAACGTGAAGGTAGTGGAAATCCAGGAGGTGGGACCCAGCTGAACTGAATAAGGATCTTTTTCTCTTGTATATTTTAACCCAGTTACAACATTTACATACCAAGTGCCTACTGTGGGGAAGGCACTATTTCTGTAACTAGAGAAAGCCCATTTAACATCTCGGCCTCAAGGAGGTACTTGCCAGTGCTATAGGCAGGGAAAAACAACAACAAAAACAACCCCCAAACCATATTGATTACAAGGAGTGCAGGGCAACAGTGCTAGGGGAAAATCAAAGCCTAGCCTGGCAAGGAAGCTCTGGTGTAGGAAGGCAGGCAGGTTTGGGGCTTGCTGTGGTACTGAGTAGCTAGGACACCTAAGATTGTGCTCCAGTTCAACAAGGCAGGAACATTCCTGACACTTATAAGGAACAGCAAGAAGAGAAGAGTGGAAGGAGAGCGAGCACTTGGAGAGGGCAGAAAATCAATTACATTTACTCCCAGATAGCTTGTGCACTGTGCTCTGACCAAGCAGACATCACGTGATGCACATGCCAGGGGCCACTCTGGCTGCTGTAATGAGGCCAAGAGATGTCTGTGTGAGGGGCGCAGCAGCAGTGGGGGCAGAAAGGACGACATTATGGAAATGCTGGTCATTTTATAGTTGCTCATAGACAGCAGACAACAACCTACCACATTTAATATCAGAATACATAATCACAGAATCTGCATTACTCATCTGTTGGATTTATCATAGTCTAGTAGCATAATTTAAGGCAAATTAAAAATACAATTTTTTACTATTTAATTTTAGTACTAGTGTTGAATCCTCTCCTAGTCTACATTAGAACTGCCTGAGGCAAAAGTAGCTACTTACTTTTCAGCTCACCTGGAGGCAAGGGATGGGAAAACAGAAGCCTCCTTTCATACTGCAGAACAAACTGGGACAGGGCCCTGACTACTACCTCTACCTCACTCCTGCCTATTCCTCTTTTTCCTGAGCTCTTCCTGTCTGCCTATTCTTGGCATGCTCTCTCCCTCTCTCTCTCTCCCTCTCCCTCTCTCTCTCTCTCCCTCTCCCTCTCTCTCCCTCCCTCCCTCCCTCCCTCCCTCTCTCCCTCCCTCCCTCCCTCCCTCTCTCCCTCCCTCCCTCCCTCCCTCCCTCCCCATCTCCGTCTCCCTCTCAGGTTTCTCTATGTAGCTATCAGGCAGTCCTTAAACTCAGAGATCCGCCTGCCTCTGCCTCCCGAGTTGCTGGGATTAAAGGTGTGCACCACCACTGCCCTAGGAATGGTCTGTTTCTAACATGCTCTTTGTATTTGGTTGTTACAGTCATCATTGTTTTTTAAGATCAAATACCTTATGGATTTGATGATGCAGGCTTTGCAGAACCTGTGGCCACATGGTGTTTGCACAGCTTCCCGTAAAGCCATCAAGCAGATGGGGCATTCGTACTTGCTTTCCAAAGGTGGGTCAAACTCCACATCATATCCCTGGATCTCTTCCATGAAGGAGCTGGAGAGGTTCCCCGTGCTGGCAGATACACTCACACTGTCATCTTTCACTGCAGCACTGCAGGAGGTGGCCATGGCAGCACAACAGTCACTTGAGGATTGGTTGGACCCACAGCTGTTTTCACAGTGTAACAGACTCATAGTAGCTTTGTTATCAGTCAATCTGTAAACCAGGCAAGAGGGAAAACAACAACAAAAATGCTTTAGCCTGCAAACGTAGTTTATCTATACTAGTCACGTAGTAGTCCACACAGACTTTTAAAAATATTATTTACAAAATAACTTTTAAAGTGTTTGAGCTTTGTTTCATATTACTACCATTTCATGGTAAGTTACCTGATTCCCTTCTTTAAAATGTTTATGAGTCACCTATGTTGAACACAAAGACTAGATAGATCTTAAGAAATTTCCTGGTCTAATACAATGACAACAGATGGCTCAAAAAGAAAAACACTTCAGTTACAACACACTATCATGTATTTACAAGGTCTGAGATCAGGTGCTTCATGTTCACTGTCATGCCAAGCACATGGCACAAGAGAATTTTTCGTATAATAGTAGATGCTTCCTAAACATCTACTGAGGAAGTTCTTCACATCATTAAGGGTCCGTTAGGTATTCTTAGCTGAAGAGAACAGTACAGCCAGCAGAGAACCAAGTAATCACACACCAGTACTCTGTGTGTGTGTGTGTGTGTGTGTGTGTGTGTGTGTGTGAGAGAGAGAGAGAGAGAGAGAGAGAGAGAGAGAGAGAGAGAGAGAGAGAGAGAGAGAGAGAGAGAGAGAGAGAGAGAGAGAGAGAGAGAGAGAGAGATCTGGGTTAAGTAAGTAGAATTAATCACTCAGAACTAACTTTCTTCTTTTGATCTAAAATTCCATGTGGATTTCTAAATGCTCAGTGTGGCAATTTCTATTATACAGAAAGAATGGAATTTAAAAGTGTATATTTATTTCCTTCTGCCTTCAGCCAGATCAGATGACCATGTTTCACTACTAATGACTGGAAAAACATGTGAGGTTTCTTTGCCTATGGAAAACTATTGTGCTAGGAGCAGACAGATGCCTTCAAATTTTAAACTGTTATATTACATACATGGGATGTGAACATTTAAAAGCAACTTCTAATCCTATAACCAACCATATCTTCAGCTTAATCATCCTTGATGAAAATTCCTAATGTAAACTATAGTTCCAGAAACAGAATGCAAAGCTCTAGTCAATACAACAGGCAATAACCCTCATGCCTGTCTATATAAAAATTCTGTCTGCCAGTTTACCAAATGGAGGATTAAGCAGCAGTTACCAGGTCACTTAGATGGGTCAGTGGGTAGAGGTGCTTGCTTCTAAACCTGACCACCTGAGTTTTATCCCTACAACCCGTAAGTTGTCCTCTGACCTCCATACATGTGCCATCACACAGTAGTACATAAAGGTATTAAATAGCAACAAAACCCCTAATAACAACAACAACAATAAAAGAAAGAGGTTCTAGTTGGGTCTAGTGGGGGCAGGTCTAGAATCTGAACTACTAGCAAAACTAAGGCAGGAGGAGAATGAATTCTAGATGAGCCTAGACGATTTAGTGAGATCTGCTTTAAAGTCAAAAGAATGTAGGAAACAACCTAGTGGTAGAGGACTTGCCTGGCATGTGAGGCTCTAAGTTCAATCCCCTGAACTGGAAATGAAGACAGGTTCTCATAGTCTTTTCAACCCTAGGAATAAACACCTTTCTGTGTGCCTCAAGTCTTCCAATCACTGTGTGACAGGCGTCTACAAAGAAGCAGGAGGGGCTAGGGAATGGCTCAGACGTGAAGAGTTCCTACTCGTCCAGGAGATCCGCCTTCCCTACACAAGTGGACTTACATGTACAGACACATGTAGGAATAATTAAAAATAAGTCTTAAAAACCGAAACAAACCCCCCAAACCTAGAAGGGAAAGTGCTCTGGTTGCAGGGGCAGTATACTGTGGCTAGGCTAGGCTGGACAGTCTGCACCTAGGCCTTTCTCAGTCACTGGATCATGACTTGGGCAAATCAGATAATCCTATATTTCAGTTTCTTCTCCTGTTAGCCAGAGGTTCCATCTGAGAGTTCCTGCAAGGTCTACATATGTTAATATGTACTGAACACTGAGAGCTGTACCGGCAGTCAGAACAAGTTATAATTTTATACAGTTTTACACAGTATTGTCCTCACCTATCAGAGTGAAACTATGGAACTTAAAAAGATCAACCTGCCCAAGATGATCAATTAAGAAACAAAGTGGTATCAAACCCCAGAACCTAGATACCTCTGCATTATATTATGCCTACCTGTTTTTTACAAAATCATTTAAGATTTATTTCTTGGGACCTGGGAAGAATAGAGGGGGTAAAGAGGAAGGGAGTTGGTCATGGGGGAACAGGAAGTTGAGGGGGTGGGGGTAGAATAGGGGGAAGAGGGAATCATAGGATCGAAGACAGATCAGGCACCAGAGTGACCTCGAGTGATCTAAAGGTATAACATCAATTGGCAAGCTAAGCAATAGTGGAAGGACAACCTCGAATGCACATTCCTGATAATGAACTTGATGTCTATAACTATCCGGGAGCCTACATCCTGGGACTGATGGAAGCAGAGGCAAACACACAACTAAGCACTGAACTGAACCCAAGGAACCCAGTGACAGAGAGAGAGGAATGATGAGCAAATTGGCAAAGAATGGGCTGGCAAAACCAGCAGAGACAGCTGATCTGAACAGGGGAGTGCTCTTGGACACCAGACCGACAGTGGGGAGGCCAGAATGGGACTGATCTGGACCCCCCAAATGTGAGTGTCAGTGAGAAGGCCTGGACAACCTATGGGGCTCTGAGCTGTGGATCAGTGTCTATCCCTGGTATACAATCTGTCTTCATGTGCCTATAGCACAAAGAGAGATGCTCTCTCAGCCTGGACTCTTAGGGGGAGTGCCTTGACCCTACCAAGAGTAAAATGATAGACTCTAGACATCCTCTATGTGGAAGGATTTGGCAATAGGGTGGGAGGGAGGGTGGAAGGGGAGTGCGGGAGGAGGGGAGGGAGAGGGAACTGGGATTGACATGTAAAACAAGCTATTTAAAATTAAAATAAAAAAAACAATTCCAAAAAAAAAAAATGGCAATCTTGCCAAAAGCAGTCTACAGATTCAATGCAATCCCTATCAAAATTCCGTCACAATTCTTCAAGGACCTGGAAAGAACATTAATCAACTTTATATGGAAAAACAAAAGGCCCAGGATAGCTAAAACATCCCTATACAATAAAGGAACTTCAGGAGGCATCACCATACCTGACTTCAAGCTCTATTATAGAGCTATAGTCCTGAAAACAGCTTGGTATTGGCACAAAAATAGGCAGGTAGACCAATGGAACCGAATCGAAAGCTCTAATTTTAACCCACACACCTATGAACACTTGATTTTTGACAAAGAAGCTAAAACTGTACAATGGAAAAAAGAAAGCATGTTCTACAAATGGTGCTGGCATAACTGGGTACTGGTATGCAGAAGACTGCAGATAGATCCATGTTTATCGCCTTGTACAAAACTTAAGTCCAAATGGATCAAAGATCTCAACATAAATCCAGCCACACTGAAACTTTTAGAAGAGAAAGTGGGAGATACTCTTCAACGAGTTGGTACAGGAGACCACTTCCTAAACATAACACCAGTGGCACAGGCACTGAGATCGACAATTAACAAATGGGACCTTCTGAAACTAAAAAGCTTCTGTAAGGCAAAGGACACAGTCAAAAAGACAAAAAGGCAGCCCACAGAATGGGAAAAGATATTCACTAACCCTACATCTGACAGAGGGCTAATCTCCAAAATTTACAAAGAACTCAAGAAACAAGTCTCCCAAACACCAAAGTATCCAATTAAAAGGTGGGGTACAGAGGTAAATAGAGAATTCTCAATAGAGGAGGCTAAAATACCCAAGAGACACTTAAGAAAGTGCTCAACATCCTTAGAGATCAGGGAAATGCAAATCAAAACAACTCTGAGATACCATCTCACTCCTGTCAGAATGGCTAAAATCAAAAACACCAATGACAATTTATGCTGGAGAGGATGTGGAGAGAGAGGGACACTCCTCCACTGCTGGTGGGAGTGCTGACTCATACAGCCTCTTTGGAAATCAGTATGGAGATTCCTCAGGAAAATGGGAATTAATATACCACTAGACCCAGCAATTCCACTCTTAGGCATATATCCAAATGAGGCAGGTTCATACAACAAGGGCATCTGCTCCACTATGTTCATAGCAGCATTATTTGTAATAGCCAGAACCTGGAAGTGACCTAGATGCCCCTCAACTGAAGAGTGGATAGAGAAATTGTGGTACATTTACACAATGGAGTATTACTCAGCAGAAAAAAACAATGGAATCTTGAAATTTGCAGGGAAATGGATAGCACTGGATGAAACCATCCTGAGTGAGGTAACCCAGTCACAAAAAGACAAACATGGTATGTACTCACTCATATATGGATTTTAGACATGGATAGTGCCAGTTTGCACTTCCACTGATAGAGAGTCTGGGAAACAGGAAAGAACCTAAAAGATATGCATATATGCATAGTACCCAAGAGAAGAGGATGGAGACAAGATCCCCTGAATGGATGGGGAACACGGCGAGGGTGAGGGGAGTGGGACCTGGGAAGAAGAGAGGGGTGAAGAGGAAGAGAGTTGGTCATGGGGGAACAGGAAATTGAGGGGGTGGGGGTAGAATAGGGGGAAGAGGGAATCATAGGATCGAATACAGATCAGGCACCAGAGCGACCTCGAGTGATCTAAAGGGATAACACCAATTGGCAAGCTAAGCAATAGTGGAGAGACCACCTCGAATGCACATTCCTGATAATGAACTTGATGTCTATAACCATCCGGGAGCCTTCATCCTGTGACTGATGGAAGCAGAGGCAAACACACAATTAATCACTGAACTGAACCCAAGGACCCCAGTGACAGAGAGAGAGGAGTGATGAGCAAATTGGCAAAGAATGGGCTGGCAAAACCAGCAGAGACAGCTGATCTGAACAGGGGAGTGCTCTTGGACCCCAGACTGACAGTGAGGAGGCCAGCATGGGACTGATCTGGACCCCCCAAATGTGAGTGTCAGCAAGAAGGCCTGGGCAAACTATGGGGCCCTGAGCTGTGGATCAGTGTCTATCCCTGATATACAAACAGTCTTCGTGTGCCTATAGCACAAAGAGGGATGCTCTCTTAGCCTGGACTCTTAGGGGAGTGCCTGGACCCTACCCAGAGTAAAATGACAGACTCTGATATCCCCTATGTGGAAGGATTTGGCAATAGGGTGGGAGGGTGGGGGGAAGGGGAGTGCGGGAGGAGGGGAGGGAGAGGGAACTGGGATTGACATGTAAAACAAGCTATTTAAAATTTAAAAAAATGATAAAAAAAAAGATTTATTTCTTCTTAATTGCTGTCCAGCATTATTACATTGAGTTGATATAACTCCAAAAATTCACCTGAGACCTCATACCATTTTACTTTATTTTTGATGTAATTTTGAAAAGCTGAAATTATCTCCCAAAGTCTTGCCATTCTGGTGTGAATTCCTAGGAAAGACTCGTTCTGACTGGAAGACAGGAAGGAATGAGACAGTGGTACACAGCAGAACTAGGCATACACGCCTTTCTTCAAAGACTGAGTATAAGCCCCCCTTTACTGCCTTCATATTTGAGGACAAATGACAGTTATGCCACACCACTGATTATATCCTTTGCTATGTTTCTTCCCATACATTCTTGCATCTACTTCTTTAGTCATGTTTCCTAAAAGTGTAATTGTTGGGTGAAAGGGCATGAAATTTTTTAAAATTTCTGATGCATGATGTTGCTTACCCAATATATATTGAAGGCTTTCTAATCTCCACTCCCACATAGTATATACAAGAGTGCCCATTTTATATATCCTTGACAATAGTAAACCCTTAAAATTTTTAGCTGTCTTGTTTTGCTTAGTAAAGTCATTCCTGAGGGTTAGTATTTGCTACTGAGCTGCACAGCACATAGCGCTAGTTGTATGGCAAACATGAGAAGACGTGGTCTTCTCTTCCTGCCCAATGTTTAAAATTCAGCTATGGACAGTCTCTATACTGCTCTCTTGCTGAACATCATCTGATTTAAAGAGTCTTTATGAACTACATGCTCCTAGGAAAGCAAGCCTGATAGACAGAACCACCTTAAAAGGATTTCCATTGAAGGAGTACACTGTAAATGCATTCTTAAAAACCTATAGTAGCGTCTGCGGACAAAAGAGTAGTGAAAACTTGAGGAAGGCGTGAAGGGGACCGCTGTCTTCTGGGAACGACTTGACCTCTGCATTGTTGAACTCTCTCAGCAGTCATCCTTACCTGCTCAAGATCCCTTCTTGGGAGCTGCAGAGATGGCTCGGCAGTTAAGAACAAGTGTAGTTCTTCCAGAATACACGGGTTTGGATTCCAGAATCCACAGCAGAAGGCTTACAACCACTTATACCTCCAGCTCCTGGGGATCTGATACCTTCTTCTGGCTTCTGTGGGCTATACCCCTGAGGCATACAAAGACACACACACATATAAATCAAATTAATTGATAAATTCCCCCCTTAACGTTGTCAAGGTGGGGGGAAGAGCTCACAAAGAACTACCCTTCTCTGAGGTCTGACTAGGCAGTTAAAGGTTGCTGGAGGAAACATTTTCTGCCGTAGTATAGGCACTGTTGAGTTGCCTATGCTCCTAGGGGCCACCCTAATTAAACTCATTGGTTTACCAAATATGTACATACTCATCAGCTCTTAGAGTATAAAACACCAGGGGTGTTATTAGAAAAAAAAATCTATCAACATCAAGTTGCTTTCATTACTTCCCATGCTTGAAGAACAGAAGCTCTGTCTTCCAAATATTCTTCAGATAATAACCTTGAAAGTCTATGGGTGTGTACCTGCTCCTGGACACGTAAGAGAGACTGTGTGTGTGTGTGTGTCTAATATACTGCAATATTTTAACACATAGTATAGGAATTGGACTGCAATTTAATTAATATTAGGGAGATCAAGCTAAAAGAAACACTTGAATACCATTTAGTATTTTAATGTTTATTTTTTCTGAGGCAAGTTAAAATATTTTCCCTTTACTTTTACATGCTGCAATGACTTAAGTAAAAAAGCCACATCTCTAATTTCCCTACAGTGAAAAACCGTCTTATTAACATTTAGAGAAGAAGGAAGAGTGCACTGAATCATTACAGAGGTGAGAACATAATGTGGCATGTGTAGAAACACTACACTCTCGGGAGTCCTTTCATGAGCTACTACAAAGTCGGGCTCCAGACTCACTGAGTATTTCTCAGCGTAGTTTATACTTATTTGGGTGACTTTCTCCAAGAATGAGGAGGACAGAATGGAATCCACGGCACTCTTTATCCTGTACGTCAGGACTGCATTGTGTGTGCGTGCTGAGAATCTAGCAAGGATACTTGAATGCAGTACCACAGAGGGAACCATTACCAACTTATCTCAACTCCACAGTGAGTAAGTCATGAAATTAGCCTTCTCAGAAATCATGGTTTCTATCTACACATTAGGTATATATTATAATTCAAAGACAATGAAGTTAGATGCCTTACGTGAAGAGTAGGGTGGCCTACAAAAACAGATGCTTGCTAGCTAATGTAGATGTTACATCTTGGAAGCATACATTTTATGTTAGCTGGAGTGTATATATAAATAAACATGTAATTCTTAAATCAAAACTACATGAAAGAAAATACTGACAATTACCTTTAAGTTTCTACTACAGGGAGCTCACCTAGTAGGATTCACCAGGTTCAAGGAGAAACATGACTTGTCCTAAGACTTCTACACATGAGCTTAGGCATGAAGGCTCACACACAGACACACAGACACAGACAGACACTAATACACTAAAAAGTATGTAAAAAACAAAACCCAAATTTCTTTACTAACAGCAACTATGTGCCAAGTCCTTAAAAACCCATTCTTACTGGGTGGTGGTGGCACACACCTTTAACTCCGGCACTTGGGAGGCAGAAGCAGGTGGATCTCTGTGAGTTCCAGGCCAGCCTGGTCTGCAGAGTGAGGTCCAGGACAGCCAGAGAGCTGTTATACAGAGAAATCCTATCTTGAAAAACAACAACAACCACCTCAGAACAAAACAAACCCATTCTTAAAATGTAAAGAGCTGCAATGTGCCACAATGGTTAAAACGGGGCTGCAAAGTATTCAATTGATGTAATTTAGTTTTGAACTCAAATTCAAGGTCCTTTTGCTTACTCAGGGATTGTTACCTTCTCCAAAAGCCAAGAAATTTGGACAATCTCCTATACAAGCCAAGTGACCAAAACTTATTACCACAGACAAACAAGGCTATAATGTTGAAATAATCAAATATGATTCTTGTATGTATCATGTATACAACCAGTGGCTCAGACACTTTCCTTGAGTCACATGACACCCTTCACCTCAAAACCGGGGGGAGCTCCTTTACCTGCAAGCATCATCAAAGGAGGTGTGAAATGCCAGCAACCCAAGTCACAAAGCCTACACTTAGGATGTGACAAGTGGTTCTCCTGTCGCCTGCTCTCAGAGAAACAAGCAAATCCTAAACATCCAACCTTTAGGTGCTTTTTGTTCACGCACAAAGACAGTCTCAGCTGGAGTTCCCCTGAAGCCAAGTACTAGGAACAGCTTTATCAACACTGAGTCTGGAACAATCGCTAGAGGGTAGGAGAGGGGAGGGAACATCGGTGTCACCGAACTCTTTTTTTTTTTTTTTTTTTAACTTACTGCTTAGGACCTCTATCGAATTTAACAGAGAACACAAAAAGTCCCCCCCCGCACTCTGGAAGTTTGGAGGGATTTTTTTTCCTTCTTCTTAATTTAAGCCAGAAGGGACGGGAAAACCCAGCGGGCAATTTCCTTCCCTGGGAAGGGGAAAACACGAGGTGAGGATGAGCAGGGCTGAGGAAGTGGGATGCAGAGAGTCCGGAGAGGCTCCCAGACCAGGGGCGGGTCCAGGACTGCGGGGCGAGGGCGGCCCGGGGCCAGGCAGCCCCGGGGAGGGGACCGAGGGCGCCCCCGGCTGGGGGAGGGCAGCGGGAGCGTCGTGCACCTGCTAGAGGCCAGGGACCGAGGGCAGAGGCGGCTGCGTGCCAAGACAGGGGGTCTCGGGGGGGCGACCCAGACTGGAGGGGAGAGGGACCGAGTCCCGGACCCGTGAGAGGACATGGGGATGGCGGCTCGGGTCTGTGGGAGGCGAGGGCCCGCGGCGACACGTCCCCGATCCGCTGGGAGCCGCGGGTGACTCTCCCGGGCCCACGGCCGCCGGAACCCAAGTTCGAAGCCGCTCACTCACCGCTCGCACACGCAGAGACGCCACAGCCGACACGGAAGGCTCCCCGGGGCCACAAGGCGTCGCCAACACAGGCGGCGCCCGGAGACCAAGTGGCTCCGACGGCCAACTCCTGGTTCGAGGGCAGCAGCCGCTGCGTCCGCAGACGGCCGGAGCCTCAGCCCCTGCCGCGGCTGTCGCTGCTTCCGCCTTCTCAGCGAGCCAGGGGCAGCGAGCAGAGGGGAGCGCCGTCCGGAGACAGAGCGGCCCTGTGAGTGAGGGCGCCCCCTGGCCGTGGTCCTCCACGCTGCAGCTGTCAACCCCGCCTCCTCGGAATGTGCAATTCTGAACTGATTGAAGGAAGTGTGTGTGTGTGTGTGTGTGTGTGTGTGTGTGTGTGTGTGTGTGTGTGTGTGAAAACAGGAGACAATTGATGTGATGGGCACATCAATAGCGTTGATAGCAGCAATTCCAAATTATATTTTCTTAAAATTTTAAAAATCCTTCTCCTACTCCTCCCTTCTTGCAAAGAAGTTTTCTCAATAGGTAGCAGCCTGCATTAATCACTTAGTTCTTCCTCTCACCAGACCAGAGGGTTATTCCATGTATGAAACGTTTCTTCAAATTGCTGCAATTTGTACTAGCCCCATTCTCTGGCATTGACACAGGAAAGCTGTTTTGAACCCCCAATTTAACTGGATACAAGTATCTACAGATTGTAACGGACACACTGCAATAGATTCCCAAAAGATGTACACTGTCATCTGCAAATTTGACTCATCTTCTCCCCTTGATAGGGACGGTATTACAGAGTCACATGTGCATATCCTGAAACTAGAACGTGTGCTTTCAAAACCAGTTTTTCCCCTATATAAATCTTGTGGGTTTAGATCAAGTTACTTAATCTATACTTGTTCCAACTCTCTCATCTCACACTCATGCTTCATATTAATAAGGTTGCTAGGTAAGGTAAGTAAATACATGTAAATAAATGGTTTAAAGTTATCTAGGGAATAATATGTGCAATAAATAATAACAATAGTACATGTCCATTTTTGCTGACATTTTAACAAAATGATTCTTTTGAACATAAGAATCTGTCACTACTCAGACTCAGTCCTCCTTTTTAAAAGTGCCTTGAAATAGTTAAGACATGGAAAGTATAAAGGATTACACATACTTGTTTGTGAACACACCACACAGTATAAGAAGTAAAAGCAAGCCAGCTGAATCACTACACTTCAAGTGTCCTCCTCCATTAGCTGCCTCTCCCACTTATATAAATAAGCTCTTGAGGGATGGGAAGCAGGTCATTATACAAAACCAGAAGATGGGGAAAGGGTCAGTGAGATGGCTCAGTGGGTAAATGAACATGCCTTTAACCCCAATGATGTGAGTTCGAACTCCAGACCCTACATTTTACAAGAGAACCAATTCCCCAAAGTTATTCCCTGAACTACACATGTACACAATGGTATGTACATGCACACACATGTGTACACACACACACACACACATACACACACTTAAAAAAGGGACAGAGAAAGAAAGGACAAGGGCATCAGATTTCTTTTATTTACTAGTGTGAGCTCTGGGTGAGCTAGTTACTTATCAAGCTTCCACTTCCTAAACCATAGAAAAGAGGGTGATGTCTACATTACTGGGTCTATTGTCAAGGTGAACTAGTAAAAGATGAGCATGAGAGACCATAGCAAGAGGCTTTCAAAAGGTCAGATGTTTTGTGTTTATTTCTTCACGTTGCTTTTCTAAGTGTTCTTGAGGGACCCCAAGAATAGTTCTCTAGTTTTAGAAATCCTGTACATACTTTATTACTTTTGTACATAAAGAGTCTTGGGCTCACCTGAGCCCTGGGCATAGGAAGTTTACACATCTCTCTCTGCTTGAGTCAAGCAGGGCCATGAGAAAGGGCTCATGAGCTGTGATGCTGAAGGATGCTTGTCATTTGGGTAACACACTTAATTTTCACTCTGTTGCCTGTGTTTAGCCACCTTATTAGCTCCTTTTGTATAGCCATGACCAAAATACATGTCAGACAGAATTTAAGCAAGAAAAAATTAATCTTAGCTTCTGGTTTCCTGCCAAGGAGTGTGTGGCAGAGCAGAGGGTGACAAACTCATGCTACAGGAGACAGGAAGTTGAGGGATGAAAGGGGAGGGAGAAGAAGAGGAAAAGGCCAACAAGACACCGACCTTAAGTCATGTCTCCCTCCCCATGAGGCGCCTTCTCCGTCCAGACCCCACCTTCCAGAGTACTACCCCTCCCAGGAGTTTATTGAGATTCTAATTAATGGCATATTTATCAGCCTCCTAAGTATTTCTCAATCAAGTTGACAATCAAGATAAACCAACAGAGCCCTGGAGGCCATGAAGAGTCTTCCAGAAGGAAGAGGTGAACCCTTGCCTTATGTGGTGAGGAGTCACCTTGGAACATCAGCTCCCACTTTGGGTTTACAGGAACAGTTTTTTTTGTTTGTTTTAAGCATTGACAAGGTGTAGTTGCTTCTGAAGTGTAATCTAACCCACCTTAGACACATTTCCTTCTTAGTCTTTCTTCTGATAGAAGCAACCAGAATACCAAAGTTGCATTTCTGGCTTTGCTTCTCAGTAAAACTGGATCCTGATAAGGTGTCCTCATCTACAGCATTTGAATAAAATTTGCCTTGTTTTTTTCTCATAGATGAAGTGGTTTCAATTGAGACCATAGTGAATACACTCTGTTGACTGGGAAGTCCTGTACAGACAGAGGAGTCAAATGTGCTGACTAGCAGGTTCCTGATGTTTATAGCAATCCCAGTACCCAGGTTCTCTAAGATGCTGCTAGGTGAAAATGCCTCATTAAATTGTCCTGCAAATAAACTGAATCTGTACAAAGGTATAGTCACAATAACATACATAGATTGTTATTATTATTTTTTTTTTGCTTCGACGATGATGAGGTGGTTCAGTGGATGAAAGCACTTGCTATCAAGTCTGGTGAACTGAGTTCAATTTTCAGACCCACATGGTAGAAGAAGAGAAAAGACTTCTAAAAGTTGTTCTATTATCTTCACACATATGCTGTGGAATGTACGTACACACACACACACACACACACACACACAAATACAATAAGCATTGTTTTATAAATAAAATAGGATATTATGTTCAGGCAATAGGGTTGAGATAGTGAGAGTTTTTCCCAAACATTTGAAAATGAGATATCTCTTGAAGAGTTAAATTATAAAATTGAGACACAATTCACTAGTTTAATATTGAATGAAAATGAGGACATGCCTGCTCCTAGGTGTGGCTGAGGAGAAGCTTTTATTGTAGGTATGAGGAGAATACAGTCAGAGGCACCTGGAAGTGTCCAGATTGAAGTGGGTGATGAGGGGATGAGAGAGTAAGAGAGGAAGAGGAGAGAGAGAGAAGAGGAAAGAGGGCAAGTAGATCAAAAGAGGAGCCAAGGACCAAATGGTCAAGACAGCTGATGGCGAGAATTGTTGAATTATATAAGACTAAGAAGCTGGGGGAAGCAAAGCTCAGCCCCTGGGCTGGAAAGGCTTAGAGTAGGGGGTGGGGTAAGAAGTGCTGGGGGTAACCACAGGTACTGAGTGAGAATTGTCCTGAGTTTCTTTGGGGCCTGTCAATTATATTTATCCAACAACAATTGCCTATGTGTGGCAGCCCTGGAGATGACATTTACATTCGTGTGAAATCCCCTTCTACAATGAACATGGCTGACTCATGTAACTAGTCACATAGTGTGGAGATGGCAGAATGTGGCCATTCTAAGGGGGTACTCTTGCTTTGTCTTGAGGACACCAGAACAGTGCTCAGAAAGAGGTCCATGTGATGAAGAGCTTGGCCTTTCTAAACAGGCAGAGGGTTTCCCAGGCCCTGGGAGTGCACCATCTCGGAAGTGGAATTCTTGACCTATAGAAGCTGTGAGATGTGTGTTTGCATAAAGGTCTAAATTTTTGATAACATTTTATGCAGTAACAGGTAGCAAATGGAAGGTGTAGGCATTCCTAAAAGCCCGGAAAGTACAGTGGTAGATAAATAACCTAGGTGTGTTCTCCATAAAACTCATGACAAGTGTGCGTGGAGAGACAGACTGAACAGCTGAGAGAACTTCAATAGTAGTAACTGCTATGAAAGTCTCAGGAAGTCAGAAACCGAGAGAGAGACAGAGAGAGAGAGAGAGAGAGAGAGAGAGAGAGAGAGAGAGAGAGAGAGAGAGAGAGAGAGAGGAAAGGAGGGAGGGAGGGAGGGAGGGAGGGAGGAGAGAGCAAGCACTAGGTGTCTTCCTCAATTGCTCTCCCCTTATTTTTTGTAGTTATTTTTATTTTATTTATGTGTATGTCTGTGAGCTATTGTGAATATACATCACAGTGCACATACCCACAGAAACTAGAAGAGGGCATCTGATTCCATGGGTATCTCATGTGGTGTTGGGAATTGAACTTGGGCCTTCTGGATGAATAGCAAGTGTTCTTAACTTCTTGAATCATGTCTCCAGCCTCACATTTCACCTAATTTTTTGAGACAGAGTCTCTTACTAAACTTGGATCTCTCTGATTGGGCTAGACTGGCTAGTCAGAGAGTCCCTGGGAGTCTTCTGTTTCTGTGCCTGGGGCCATGGGGATAATAGGCATATGCCACTGTGTCCAGCTTTTTTTCTTCCTCTGGAGATTCTGGAGAATCTGAATTTAAATCCTCATGCTTGCAAGGTAAAGACTTTACTCACTTATCTATCACCCCAGTCATCTATGAAAAATATCTAAGTCTGCCTAGTCAACGTTAGTTTCTCTGAGAAAGAAAAAGAGTTGAACTAAAATTCTGAATATTTTCCTCATGCAAAGCCATTTAAGCAGAGGGGTCCAGGTAGTATAACAACTACTGTGAGGGCCTTAAGATGAAATGAGCTTGATTTCTATCCCAGCATCTACAAAGTTGATGTGGTTGAAACTGGGAGAGCGCCTGAGAGTTTGCTCTGCTGAAGCTAGTTCTCCTAGCTTACGGGATGGGTATTGTGTGGGGAGATTATATTCAGAGAAAAGATACAACCAGATCCATCAACATGGAGGAAAGGATGGGAGAGTTAAAAATCTCACCCAAGTCAAATCAGAGCAAGAAGAAAGTAGATGAGGTGGTGATTGATATAATTATACACCAAGAAAGAATGAGCCCATTAGAGGGAGATTTAGCCACACC